GTTAATCCTGTGTTTGAGCCAGCTCCTGTCCACAATGACTATAGATCTGGACCAACACCTCCAGAGGATGCTCACTACAGAATGCATCCAGAAGCTGTATATTTGGTGGGCATGCACTATCCATCACAGGTATCGGAGCAGTATGATCAAGTAGCTTATAACTCACACACAACTGAACAGCATTTGAAGCAGGTTTCTGAGTCAAACCATGGGCAAGGTGGTCCTCCACAAAGCTCTGTGTTCGATTTTCAACCGGGGCAAACGTACCTGGCAAGACCCGTTCAGAACCTGAGGCTGGATTCTGGGATGGGTCCCCTCTCTCCATTATCCAGTGTTTCAGCTCCTCTGAGTGCAGACCCTGCTCAGATGACATTCCACCAGGTGTTTGTTCCGCACTCTGCCCCGGCTGTGCTCTCTCACAGTGCTGATGGCAAAACGAGCTGTGTCTTTGAGTTCCATGTGCACACACCGACTTCTGCCTCGGCAGAAGGGGCAGTTGTGCCCCCGCGGGTCTACAGAAGTCGCCGGGGCTCTATGGAGACCAGTCAAGAGGAATCCACTCAAGGCATAGGGTCGCATGGTCGGCTTCAGCCTGTGACAGAGGAGCAGTGTAACTATCTTGGTGCTGGGTTAGCAGGTCCCAGAGGGGGCTCTGCCAGGCGGAGCTGGCCAGAAGGAAGCCCAGAGTACTCCAGTGATTCCTCACAGCTGACTTCCTCTGACACTGGTGATTTCCAGTCTCCTCCCCCTACAGGGGGCTCATCTTCTGCTTTTGGTTCAGACTTCTCATTGCCCATTGTTCAGCTGCCTCAGAAGGTGTTGCAGGAGTCGCAGCTCTTCATCTGCTTCCCCCAGGGAGCCTCAACTCAGCAGGCCTTGTCCACCTCGTTTTCATCAGGACCACCTGCATCCTATCCTCAGGTTACAGGAGCAAACCTGTCCAGAATTTCTCTGTTTTTTATAAGTCATACCTTGCACTTATGAAGGGGAGCCTTACCTGTAGATTTTGCTCCTTGTGGTTCTAAGTATTAGCATTCATGGGGATATCTTTCCACCAATCTGTACTAGGATCTCTTTACCAGGTTGTGATGAAATAATGACACATCAGCAACCATTTGGTTTGTGTTCAGATTTGGCTGAAATATTGGTAGGGCTTTTGTGTTAAGAATAAAAAACTGCTAAGTGTTCCTCCTGGAACTAGTTGTTTTTTTTGGTGAGAGAGGGCTGGAGGACCAAATTGGCTTTTAATCAGTGGTTTCAATGAAATGTATCTTTTCCACAGTTGGAGTCAGCAGCGATAGTAAAATTTTCTTTGTGTTTTTGTTGCTGCTCCTTAATTTTAATGAGAGTGTTATTTGAAGTTGAACTTTGATATGAATAATGTTTTGCTAGACAACAGCAAGGTTATGTTGCTGATTGTCCAAAATGCAAGAACTTTTTCTAGACTTGGGGAAAGAAAGTGGGAAGAGAGGAGCGGAAGGAGCTGTGTTATGTACGTGTACGTGAGTTTGAAATGTGTTTGGAGGAGCTTTGAAGAAACTAAACAGGCTGAGTAGTTAATTAATGGTACAAACAACTGTTGCTAATAGGTGTTGCCGCCTTTATAAGCCTAGAATATAATGTCCTTTTAAATAACAAAGTTGGAGGCCTGAAGCTTAGTTTGGAGGTACATGTTTTATCAGCATATATGGTATTTGCGCTTGCAATGGTCACTTTTTTGTACACTGTGATTGTGAGGTCTGTGTGTATATACATTGTGTCTGCACTTTAGACTGAAAATTCTCATAACTTTCTGTGAAAAGAGAAGATTTACTTCAAGTAGACTTCTCTTTTACCTCTTCTGCACATAGAATTAGGGACTCTAATTTTAGTTATTGGAGTATTAGCAAATTTGGAATCTGTGTGAAGGAGAATAATTTTGCTTTCTGTGTTAAGATCAATAAGTATTCGAGGCTTTCTGTATGGGATAACAGATGTTTTATTGAAGCAGAAACAGCTTTAATCACTAGTCTAATAGATGGCAATTGCTGTGCTGTAGGAGAACTTGTAGAGTGAATCTGCTACTCCAGAAGTTTGAAAACTACGTGGAGATTTTTTTTCTTCATAAACCTTTGTTATGTTGTCAGGAGGTGAATTCTGATGGATTTAAAATACATTTGGAAAACAAAATAAGAGATAATGATTGTTTATGGAATTTAAGTTCTGGGATCTTTTATCTAATTCATTAAAAGATTAGAATTTGAAACCCAAACTAAGTCAATATGAGTAGATGTTATAGCAGTGGGATATAGCACGTTTAGGTCTTAGCCAGTAAGGGCCTCAAGCTTCTAAAACAGCAAAGAAAAAAATGGTTCTCTTCACTGGCACTCTGCTTTCCCCAAAGTTTCTATAATTAAAAAAGTATTTAATTTTAATAAGCTTGTTCATTATGAGCTTCTGCAAGCTTAATGATCACAGGATTAAGGAATTTAAGTAGATATTTCTGATATGATACATATGCACCAGAGATGCTTCTTACAAAGGCAGTTCACCAAAGTGGTGCATGCTCAGGGAGCTCGTCTGGAGGTCTTTGTCTAGTTTTCTCCCAGGAGCTGATAAAGGAATACAGTTGTCACAAAAATCATAATGCAAATCCTGGGATCTGATCAAAAAATGTCATCCACAAAAATAATGAAAATCCATTCCATTTTCCTCTGCATATTCCACATTCATTTGTATGCCACTCATCCATTTTTTTCATTGCTTATTCAAAAATTCTGTTTTAACTAGAATGTGAACCCCCACATTCCCTAATATCTGATTGTTGGTAGCCTTTGAATGGAAGTGACTCTGGGAATGATTACTAGCCTGTATTTTGACATTCCTCTCATAGGAAACTCATGACATATATGTGTACTGGGTATGTTGTAATTGGTCTGGAATTCTGTATATCTTTGTGCTTGGTGGCTTTTTTTTTTTTTAATGGATAGCTTTATTTCCACATACTCTCCTTTTATCACCCCACCTGTGTGTAGAACACATGTACAGATAAAACCTAATACCTCTATTTCCAGTTATCATGCCAAGGCATCCTGCTTTTAAGGCATCACCAGTGGAAGAAGCAGCTGGTAGGCTGATCTGTGTCATGTTGAGGGGCTGCAAAGACTTTCTGTATTGGTTATTTTGGAAGACTTAAAACGAAGTTCGAAACTCTTCCAGATTGCTCTGCTTTGTTCTGTTTGTATTAGCAGAATTTGGCCAGAAGGACTGCTTGTCCAAAAGGACAGCTAGAAACCTATTCCAACCAGATCATTCCAGGCAGAAATGATTTTAATTGCCTGTGGCAGAAACCATAGGTGTTTTTTAAGCTGACTCTTTTTTCCCCCCCCTCCTCCAGACACAGGTGCAAGGCCAGCCAGCCTCGAGCAGTGCATCGGTGCCATCCCAGCCTACCCAACACACTCAGCAAGTAAGATCGCAATTCCTAAACCCAGGACTAAAATACTCTTAGTATAGGATTTTGATGACTCTTTTAAGGCCAGTTGACTACCTCTATTACCCTTCAACCCATAGTTTTGCACAAAAGCAAAGGAATCCTCTCCCTGGGAATTCTCACTCAGTCTAATGTGCTATGAGATATGCCTGGACTTTGTGGAATTTATTTTTAAAGTCATGTTAATGCTTGTTTTCCCATGCCTGTCTTCCCCAACTTCCACCTGAGCTTGCAGTGGCAGTCCTGTTCAAGGGGAGATGTGTCAGGATTTGCAAGTTAGACTGTCTAGACGGGCAAACTTCATTTTTAGGGTTTCTCCTAACTGGAAATACTATCATATCTTCTGCAACATTCTTATGTCTTAACTGCCTTTTCTTCCTTTATAAAATCTTCATTCTTGTTCACACAGGTGAAGTACTTCTGTTGCAAGATTTGGTGCTGATAATGTAGTTGAATTAGTGTTGCTAATAAGTAATTGCTAAAGTCTAATTGACTTGGCATATTCTGAAGAACCACAGATGTTACTTGGGAGAGAGTAAAAAGTAGAATTGAAGTAGGATATGCTTTATAAACCTCTGTAGGGGGGAAATACAGCTTCTGCCTCTTTTTTTTACTGCAGAGTGCACAGCAGCCAGCCTCTTCCCAACAACCTGGGCAATACCAGCTGCAGCAGCCACCAGTTTCTGCTGGCACAACTCCTGCACAAACTGTCTCTCAAACTCAGACATCACAGATAATGCCAATGCCTCAGGCAGGAGCTGGGACACAGGTAAACAAAATTCTTTCTAGCAGAAGATTTATTTTTTTTTTCTTCACAGCTGGCAAATTCAAAATTCAAACATTTAAACTTTCACTTTTGTCATCTTTTCTAATGGTTCCAAAACATTCATCTAGGCAACAGTTTTGTTATTGTACTACAATTGTCAGTTCTGTTGGAAATGCGTTGGAAAACCTTTCACATGTGGCAGTCGTGGGTAATCTGAGGGAGGGATAGTATTTTCACGCACAAAGATCTTCAAATCGTCAAAAATACCAGGAGGCATATTGATGGATGGTGTGTTGTGAATGGATTGTCAGGAACCTGTCATTTCTCTGTTTCCCATACGATGTCTGTCTTCTGCACCATTACATATTCACTTACTTAGGTAGTGAACCATAGGATTCCTTTCTTCACTCATCTTTCCTACTCAGCTCTTCTCCTTTACTCCCTGGTCAAGAAGCTTCTGTTACTGAATATTGCTTCATTTTGGCTCATATCTCTATTGAATGTGTGAGCCTTAATTTTGTTTTTAAAATTATTGGTTTGTTGCTTGTTCATCTAAACTGCTTTTCCAGTTGCATCATTTGCTGGCTTTAATTGACATATCCCCTGCCATTCTCTGAATACTGGCACAGTGGATTTTCATTTTCCTCTGCTTTAGTCCCCATACCCAAAGCTGACAGATTTGTTGAAAGATTTGCACTGCTTTCCTGTAAGAAGGCAGGCCTTGGGTCTGAAGACAGAGTTAAGGGGAATTTGATGAAGCACAAATCAGTGCTTCAGGGTATTCGAACGTTGCTCTTTTACCCGCTGTGGGTGTCGGTTTCAAGAGCCTGTTGAGTTCTTCAAGGGAAGTGTTGCAAAGAGAGGACCGCTTGGAACTCCAGCCAGCTTCCCAGCCACTCTGCCAACTGTGCTCCCGCCCACTTTAACAGAGTGCTGTAACTTTGAATAATGCTTTCTTTGACTAATGTGTAAAAACTCTGCTTTCCGCAACCCTGCTTAAAAAAAAAAAAAAATCTATCTCTATTTTCTTTACCTCCCCAGCTTCCTGTTTCCCAGCCAGTGCCGATCATCCAAGGCGAGCCTCAATTACCTGTTGCAGCACCTTCTCTCCCTCAGCCTTCAGTTGCCCCATCAGTCCCCATTGGCTCTCATTTTCTACCCATGGGACAGGCCTTGCCAACTTCCGTGGTTCCCCAGTTCCCAGTCCCTCAGTTGCCTGTAGCAGCTCCTCATGTGACAGTGGCTCAGCCAGGTTTCCAGTCGCTGCCCATTTCAATGGCAGCTGGCATGAACCAACCATTGCTCACACTGGCAACGTCTGCTGCGGCAACCGCTGTTCCTGTAGGATCAACCGTTGTCCCTAGCCAGCTTCCCACAATGATGCAGCCTGTGGCTCAGCTGCCCAGCCAGGTTCTCCCGCAGCTCCTGCAGCCAGCTGTCCAGTCCGTGGGATTGCCAGTCAGCATTGGACAAGCTGCTGAAGCTTCACTTCCTGCTGGAGATGCTCTTTACCAGGTATTGTTGCAAGCCAGCAGACCTCTTCTCCACATTTTTAGCTGTTACTCTAAGGTATCGGATCTAAACTGTGTTGCCCTGACCAACTCACTTTTCATAAGAGAGCCATTAAACCACCAACATGAATTCTGTGGTGTGGTAAAAACACATTTTAAGGAGGAGAGGAAAAAAAAAGTCCTTGGATGTCCTGGTGTTTTTGAGCCTTTCATATTTGGCAGTGGAAATTGTTTAAAATGACAGAATCATAATGCAGGATTCATTCAACCACTGTGTGAAAGAGGACAGCTTTATGTCCAAGAGATCTGTCAAACTGGAGACAAAGAAAATCAAAACATTTCAACTTTAGAAATGGGAGATGTGTGCTGGAATCAAAATCAATGGCAGCATGTTCAGCAATGTCAGTATTTTATTCCAAGTCTGGGAAGGGTTGGGACATGGAATTTCTAGAAATAAGGCAGGCAACGTGGATCTTGAATGTGGCGTAAGTACCTGACGCTAGTCGTGAACTGCTTGACTGGTGGGCACAGACTGCTTCAGCTACTTTGTGTGATCACTGTGAAAATGGCAACCTGAATAATGGCAAGTGTTCCTTGTTCCTGGGTCAACTCATCCTGAGAGGACAGGAAGAACACAAGACTGTTTTTGCTATTTATCTCGAGAATCAGCAGCACTTTTATAACATTTGAGCAGCAGTTGTTCTGCCTGAAAATTCTTCAAACTCATTTCATTTCTCAGGCTTTAAAATATTAAGCTACAAATGCAGCTGTGAGACTTAGGAGATGAAGATTGTTTTGCCTAACACTTGGAAGTATGAGTGGGGATTTGCTTGTTCAAGCATGTTGACTTGCAAGCTGGCTGCATGAGCAGTTTGCTCTGCTTCTTTGGGAAGATATTTGGGAATGCTTGAATAAGTACAGAAGGTTGGAAGATGCCCCTGGAAATGATACTTTTTTCATTTTACTGTTGTGTTTCCTAATTAGCTCTGACATTCACTGACTTGACTCCCCCGTTTCTATTCCAGGGCTTCCCGTCACGGCTGCCGTCTCAATACCCCGGGGACTCGAATGTCGCACCTTCCTCTGCCATGGCCTCTGCTAGCATTGCTTCTGCTGTCCTGTCCCCTCCCTTACCCACAGATGCAATGGCCCAGTCAGGATATCTCGCTCCTGTTGTGCAACCGTACGGGGAACAGAATGTTCTGGTTTCCATGGGCAGCATAGGAGGGCAGGTGCAAGTGCCCCAGCCTTCAGTGAGTTTAGCACAACAGGCCTCATCTGCCTCCTCACAGCAGGCAGCTTTGGAGGTAAATATGTGGAATATAACGTAACAATACATTTAGGATGTTTGAATCGTGCAACAATGTATGTGTGTGGGGAACTAATCCCTTCCATGCTTGTCTTCAGTTGGAAATTAATATTTCAAATGACCTTTCTCTTACAGCAGAATGTCATGCCAATGTGGGGACCTTGTTGCCACTGGTTGTTCTGTTGGGAAGTGAGTGTGCCATCCTGCAGGCAGAAAGCAGTTAACATTTCACTTCTTGCTAGTCCTATGGACCATTTTTGCCATATCCAAGACAAGCTGCAAACGATAGCCTTAGAGAATCTGTCATTTTGCGTATTCCCTGCAGGGTTGTTCTTGCTAGGGAGAATTTGAACTGTCTTTGTGTTCTGCATTGGCTTGCCTTTTGCACATTCTGTTAGTAAGACTGTAACTGCATGGCAAACTGTAGTGACACATGAAAGTAGAAAGGATGGCTGACTCTCTCTCCTCACCCCTCCCGAGATGATTTTTTGCTTCACTGCAGTTTGCTCTAGAATCCTTTGTAAATCAGAGCTGTCTAGATGCCAGCTGTTTGAAGTTCTAAAAAAGGCAGAGCTTTTAGCTTTACAACTGGTTTGGGAATAAGTTCGAAAGACTGCTGGGCTACTTAAGGAGGAACTTTATTCTTTGGGGGATTCTTGATGTAGGTTTCTGTCCATAGGGTTCTCAGGGGGCCTCACAGACTGCTCCTACAGAGACTCTTCCAGCAACACAGCCTGCTCAGTCTACCCCTTTGGCTTCCTCTATGGATAGGTAAGCATTGCTTTCTTTAGATTATACTTCCATGTGTTATCTTTAGGTAAATTTTTTCACCAGGGATACTGAGGGTGTTCTTGAGGATGTGAGGAAACAAACTTCCAAGAGGAAAAATAGGGTTATGAGAGGTGGAATAAGTTTTGATTTATGTCTGGGTGTGGAGAGAATAAATAGGATTGTCTGTAGTGCTTTAATTTCTAGTCCATTTTTATTTTTCATGTCCAGTGGATCATAAAGCATGTTTTTCTGTCCTTTTGGCACTCAACAGAATTCAGACTCCAAATAGCTTGAAGACATATTCAAAAGATAGATTTGTACTAGTAAGCTTGCAAGAGGTGCAGCGAAATAATTGCTGTTAGAGTAGAATTTTTAAGTGTTGACAGGACTATTTCCTTTATTCTGAGATTACACACATCTGCTGCTGTCCAGAAGAGAATATCATCTGGTGGGTTACACTGTATTGTTGCAGCTATGGAATGCATGGATACTAATGTAAAGGTGCCTTTTTCTTTTTTTTTTCCCAGTGCACATTCTGATGTTGCTTCAGGATTGAGTGATGGCAATGAGAATGTCCCAACTTCTAGCGGGAGGCATGAAGGGAGGGCCACGAAACGTCACATGCGGAGGTCTGTCCGCAGCCGCTCTCGCCATGAGAAGACTGCTAGACCAAAACTGAGAATCCTAAATGTGAGTGTTTCTTATTTTAGAGACAGTTCAGTAGTGAGCCTCTAAAATTGTTATTTCCTTTGAGCAATGTGTGTCTTCTGCGGTCTTGTTCCTAGCTCCCTGAGCACAAAAGCTATCCAGTGCATTTCTTTTGCTTCTAGAGTCACCATTCTAAATGTCATCTGCTGAGAGCATTTTGGAGCATTAGATCTGGCAAAGTTGGTTTGTTTAGCTACCAGTGGTTCCATAGACTATTGCAGAATATTTGATGTATACTCAGACAAAAATGATGCTGTACATGGCACCACTTATTAGATTGGAAAGAGAAAGAGAAGAAGTTTGTATTATACCAATACTGTTGGTTTGTTTCAGTGAACTTTAAAGAAAAAGCCTTAAATTCTTGTGCTTTTGGTTTGAAGTACTTTTTTTTTTTTTTGCTTTAGGTTTCGAACAAAGGTGATCGGGTAGTGGAGTGCCAGCTAGAGACACACAATCGGAAAATGGTTACTTTCAAATTTGATTTGGATGGTGATAACCCTGAGGAAATAGCTTCAATTATGGTAAGATACATTTTAGAGATGTAGAATTGAATCTGGTCTGAATTATTTTTTTCTTGTGTTTTGGAATTGCTCTTCCACATAGCATGGTGTGTGTTCACGTTATTGGTACACAAGCACAGCTAGAAACTCTGGGCGCAGAATGGTATACCTGACTGACAGTTAACATTGCACACACAATTCACATAACAATTTTTCAATTTTTACCTTGGAACTGAGGTTTTATCAAGTAAATTTGCCTCTGTTTTTTTGCAGTCTAATTTTTTTTAAAAGAACAAACAACTTTTTGGAAGTGTCAGATTTAAAAAAAAATTCTGGTTTGTTTTCCAAGAGCAAATGTTGCTAGATTTTTTTGTATTTGAACTCTTTTTGATCTGGTACACTCTAAATGAAACAGATTATTTTAAGTGTTAGTGAAGTGAGGGAGGATGGCAAAATGCAGTATCTTCTGCCAGCTTTTTGGGTACCTCTCTTGGTGTGTGCTGGATTTGTACCTACCTAAAGGAACCAAACCAGTGATATGGGAGGAATAATCTCTCTGTGACTAATGACTTTTTTAGGAAAGAGAAACAAGTTGGTTCTTGGCTAAGTACATGTATTGACACTGTGAACAAGTTAGTAACATAAAGTCAAGTGCCAAGAAATACACAGATGTCTGTCTTTGCCTCATACCTAAAGTGATCCTATGGAGGAATAAAGAGTATGTTTGATTTTAAAAAAATCCAAAAAACTAAACAAGCAAAAACAAAACAAGCACACGCAGCCCAAGCAACAAACCCCACAGTATTTGAAGATGAGTAGAAGCAAAATCAGTGAACTGTGCATTCAAAATGCGGTCACATAGTTGAAACTGTGCAACCTAAATTAGACATCTGAATCTGGAACATTGTGCTCATGGGTTTCTTGTTGAATATTGAGGGAACTTTTGACTGTAAGACTTTATGGTTTCTTTTTTAATCATTGTACTGTCAGGTAGCATTCCTCAACTTAAAATGCTGAAGGTTTCTTTAGTTAAGTTTTCTGCAT